CCTCAAAGGGCCTGAGCAAAGCGCAGGTGTCACGCATGAGCTGCCAATGGCTGACATCTAAGTTACACAGGGAGTACCTTTATCCGCTTTTAACATCAGGAAATCTGTGATGGCCTTTCGTGTTCGTAAAGGCGGTCTAACATATGTAGGGTTGAATTCCACCTTGTTGCAACGTCAAAGCATGAGGAGTCGGTACGGGGGCCCATGGCAGATTACGGGCCTGGCAGCAGCAATGGGAGGCCCGTAATCTGCCAGCACCCTATGTCAAAAAATTGAACACACCAGCAGTGTGTGAGGAGACCTGAAAGTGGCACATGGCAGAGTGTGGCGATGGAGACAGCAGCAATGGGAGGCCGTACAGGGACCCATGAGAGACTCTGGACTTCGCAGCAGCATGAGGAGGTTGTGGTATAGGAGCCCATGGCAGATTAGGGGCCTGGCAGCAGCTATAGGAGGCCCGTAATCTGCCAGCACCCTATGACAAAAAATGGAACACACCAGCAGTGTGAGGAGACCTGAAAGTGGCACATGGCATGAGACACTGTGGACCTGGCAGCAGCATGAGGAGGCGGTACAGGGGCCCATGGCAGATTAGGGGCCTGGCAGCAGTATGGGAGGCCCGTAATCTGCCAGCACCCTATGACAAAAAATTGAACACACCAGCAGTGTGAGGAGACCTGAAAGTGGCACATGGCACACTGCTGACACTGTGGACCTAGGCAGCAGCATGAGGAGGCGGTACAGGGGCCCATGGCAGATTAGGGGCCTGGCAGCAGCTATGGGAGGCCCGTAATCTGCCAGCACCCTATGACAAAAAAATTGAACACACCAGCAGTGGAGGAGACCTGAAAGTGGCACATGGCATGAGACACTGGTGGACCTGGCAGCAGCATGAGGAGGCGGTACAGGGGCCCATGGCAGATTAGGGGCCTGGCAGCAGCTATGGGAGGCCCGTAATCTGCCAGCACCCTATGACAAAAAATGGAACACACCAGCAGTGTGAGGAGACCTGAAAGTGGCACATGGCAGAGTGTGGCGATGGAGACAGCAGCAATGGGAGGCCGTACAGGGACCCATGAGAGACTCTGGACTTGGCAGCAGCATGAGGAGGCGGTATAGGGGCCCATGGCAGATTAGGAGATTGGCAGCAGCAAGCTATGGGAGGCCCGTAATCTGCCAGCACCCTATGACAAAAAAATTGAACACACCAGCAGTGTGAGGAGACCTGAAAGTGGCACATGGCATGAGACACTGTGGGGACCCATGGCAGCAGCATGAGGAGGCGGTACAGGGGCCCATGGCAGATTAGGGGCCTGGCAGCAGCTATGGGAGGCCCGTAATCTGCCAGCACCCTATGACAAAAAATGGAACACACCAGCAGTGTGAGGAGACATGAAAGTGGCACATGGCAGAGTGTGGCGATGGAGACAGCAGCAATGGGAGGCCGTACAGGGACCCATGAGAGACTCTGGACTTGGCAGCAGCATGAGGAGGCGGTATAGGGGCCCATGGCAGATTAGGGGCCTGGCAGCAGCTATAGGAGGCCCGTAATCTGCCAGCACCCTATGACAAAAAAATGGAACACACCAGCAGTGTGAGGAGACCTGAAAGTGGCACATGGCATGAGACACTGTGGACCTGGCAGCAGCATGAGGAGGCGGTACAGGGGCCCATGGCAGATTAGGGGCCTGGCAGCAGCTATGGGAGGCCCGTAATCTGCCAGCACCCTATGACAAAAAATTTAACACACCAGCAGTGTGAGGAGACCTGAAAGTGGCACATGGCAGAGACACTGTGGGACCTGGCAGCAGCATGAGGAGGCCGGTACAGGGACCATGGCAGACTCTGGGGGCAGCTGAGGAGGCAGGGCCCATGGCAGATTATGGGGAGGCCCGTAATCTGCCAGCACCCTATGACAAAAAATGGAACACACCAGCAGTGTGAGGAGACCTGAAAGTGGCACATGTTTGGGGCATGATTCATGGCGGATTTAGTCAGTTGTGTCAGGAACTGGTGGTTTGAAATCCAGACTAATCCACGCCTGATTCATTTTCACAAACGTGAGTCTCTCCACACTTTGGGTGGACAGTCGTGTCCTCCGCGGAGTTACAATACCTCCTGCCGCACTAAACACGCGCTCCGATGCCACGCTACTGGCCGGCATGACAGCCTTTCAAGGGCAAATTCAGCTAGTTGGGGCCAAAGGTCAAGTTTCGTTGCCCAGTAGTCAAGGGGATTGTGCGGTTGGCAGGGTGCTGTCCAAGTAGGCCCAAGCCTGTTGTTTGAGGTCCTGCTCCAGGTCCACCTGATGCTGCTGCTGCTGCTGCGGCTGGTTAGTAGTTTCCTCACTGCGCTGGTGAAGCCCGCTACTCATCATCGACTGCAGACTGAGGCAGCCGCTGCTGGTGGAGCTGCCACTGCTCCTACCACCCCACCCTTCCTTTGTGGCGCCGATGGCAGCGGAACGCGAGCGCACAGGGCCCACAGTGTCTGAGGATGGACGTTGGCGCACAAAGGCAGAGACCAACTGACTACATAGGTGGTTTTTATAGTACGTTATTTTGGCCCTCTCAGCAGGTGTGAAAAAGGCCACCATTTTTGAACGGTTAGCGAGGCGAGGGTCCAACAAGGTGGACAGCCAAAAGTCATCCCTCTGTCTGATGGTTATTATTCGGCTGTCGCTACGCAAGCAAGCGAGCATGCTATGGGCCATTTGTGCCAAGGAATGCGAGGGACTCCCTGACCTCCATCTCCACAGCATACCTGCCACGGTGCATCTGGGTCCTCTGTCTCCTCCCATCCTCTACCAGATGCTCCTGCTCCTCCACTCCTGTCCGCTGAGTGGAAAAACCACCCATTTCCACTCAATAATTCCTGAGCACAAATGTCCTCCTCTACCTCACTCCAGAGTCTTCCTGTCCTGCCCCCCAGGGGTCATGTGGCGCCGTTGAGATCTGTGTGCGCCACGTCTACCAGCACCCTGACCAGCCATTGTTAACAGCATTTGTTCCAGGACGTGCAACAGAGGGATGACGTCGTTCATCCCATAGTACCTGCCTGCCGACTCACGAATAGCGTGGCCTCCTCAAATGGCCTGAGCAAGCGGCAGGTGTCACGCATGAGCTGCCAATGGGAGACATCGAAGTTACACAGGGGAGTACCTTTATCCGCTTTTAACATCAGGAAATCGGTGATGGGGCCTTTCGCTGTTCGTAAAGGCTGTCTACCATGTGTGGGGGTTGAATTCCACCTTGTTGCAACGTCGCAGATCAGTGGGCGATGCTGTGGAATTCTGTTCTGCCGCTGCAGCTCAAGGAGGGTGTGCTTTGCGGTGTAGGAATGGCTGAAATGCATGCAAAGTTTACGTGACATTTTAAGGATGTCTTGCAGTGGGATGGTGGGATTTTAGGAACCGCTTGACAACCAGATTGAACACGTGAGCCCATGCATGGCGCATGGCACAACCTTCCTTGATGCAGAGCAGACACCATGTTCTTTCCGTTGTCGGTCAACATGGTTCCGATTTTTTCAGTTTGCGCGGAGACAGCCATCTGTCGATTTCTCTGTTCATTACACTGAGAAGTTCCTCCCCTGTGTGACTACGTTCGCCTGGACTGACACTGGCAGCAGCAGCATGAGGAGGCGGTACAGGGGCCCATGGCAGATTAGGGGCCTGGCAGCAGCTATGGGAGGCCCGTAATCTGCCAGCACCCTATGTCAAAAAATTGAACACACCAGCAGTGTATGAGGAGACCTGAAAGTGGCACATGGCAGAGTGTGGTGATGGAGACAGCAGCAATGGGAGGCCGTACAGGGACCCATGAGAGACTCTGGACTTGGCAACAGCATGAGGAGGCGGTATATAGGGGCCCATGGCAGATTAGGGGCCTGGCAGCAGCTATGGGAGGCCCGTAATCTGCCAGCACCCTATGACAAAAAAATTGAACACACCAGCAGTGTGAGGAGACCTGAAAGTGGCACATGGCAGAGTGTGGCGATGGAGACAGCAGCAATGGGAGGCCGTACAGGGACCCATGAGACACTCTGGACCTGGCAGCAGCATGAGGAGGCGGTATAGGGGCCCATGGCAGATTTAGGGGCCTGGCAGCAGCTATGGGAGGCCCGTAATCTGCCAGCACCCTATGTCAAAAAAAATTGAACACACCAGCAGTGTGTGAGGAGAGGACCTGAAAGTGGCACATGGCAGAGTGTGGCGATGGAGACAGCAGCAATGGGAGGCTGTACAGGGACCCATGAGACACTCTGGACCTGGCAGCAGCATGAGGAGGCGGTATAGGGGCCCATGGCAGATTAGGGGCCTGGCAGCAGCTATGGGAGGCCCGTAATCTGCCAGCACCCTATGACAAAAAATGGGAACACACCAGCAGTGTGAGGAGACCTGAAAGTGGCACATGGCAGAGTGTGGCGATGGAGACAGCAGCAATGGGAGGCCGTACAGGGACCCATGAGACACTCTGGACTGGCAGCAGCATGAGGAGGCGGTATATGGGGCCCATGGCAGATTAGGGGCCTGGCAGCAGCTATGGGAGGCCCGTAATCTGCCAGCACCCTATGTCAAAAAATTGGAACACACCAGCAGTGTGTGAGGAGACCTGAAAGTGGCACATGGCAGAGTGTGGCGATGGAGACAGCAGCAATGGGAGGCCGTACAGGGACCCATGAGACACTCTGGACCTGGCAGCAGCATGAGGAGGCGGTATAGGGGCCCATGGCAGATTAGGGGCCTGGCAGCAGCTATGGGAGGCCCGTAATCTGCCAGCACCCTATGACAAAAAATGGAACACACAGCAGTGTGTGAGGAGACCTGAAAGTGGCACATGGCAGAGTGTGGCGATGGAGACAGCAGCAATGGGAGGCCGTACAGGGACCCATGAGACACTCTGGACCTGGCAGCAGCATGAGGAGGCGGTATAGGGGCCCATGGCAGATTAGGGGCCTGGCAGCAGCTATGGGAGGCCCGTAATCTGCCAGCACCCTATGTCAAAAAATGGAACACACCAGCAGTGTGTGAGGAGACCTGAAAGTGGCACATGGCAGAGTGTGGCGATGGAGACAGCAGCAATGGGAGGCCGTACAGGGACCCATGAGACACTCTGGACCTGGCAGCAGCATGAGGAGGCGGTATAGGGGCCCATGGCAGATTAGGGGCCTGGCAGCAGCTATGGGAGGCCCGTAATCTGCCAGCACCCTATGTCAAAAAATTGAACACACCAGCAGTGTGAGGAGACCTGAAAGTGGCACATGGCAGAGTGTGGCGATGGAGACACTGCAATGGAGGCCGTACAGGGACATGCAGACTCTGGACTTGCAGCAGATGAGGAGGCGGTACAGGGGCCCATGGCAGATTAGGGGCCTGGCAGCAGCTAGCTATGGGAGGCCCGTAATCTGCCAGCACCCTATGTCAAAAAAATGGAACACACCAGCAGTGTGTGAGGAGACCTGAAAGTGGCACATGGCAGAGTGTGGCGATGGAGACAGCAGCAATGGGAGGCCGTACAGGGGACCCATGAGAGACTCTGGACTTGGCAGCAGCATGAGGAGGCGGGTATAGGGGCCCATGGCAGATTAGGGGCCTGGCAGCAGCTATGGGAGGCCCGTAATCTGCCAGCACCCTATGACAAAAAATTGAACACACCAGCAGTGTGTGAGGAGACCTGAAAGTGGCACATGGCATGGCATGAGACACTGTGGACCTGGCAGCAGCATGAGGAGGCGGTACAGGGGCCCATGGCAGATTAGGGGCCTGGCAGCAGCTATGGGAGGCCCGTAATCTGCCAGCACCCTATGACAAAAAAAAAAAAATGGAACACACCAGCAGTGTGTGAGGAGACCTGAAAGTGGCACATGGCAGAGTGTGGCGATGGAGACAACCCACCGACTGTTTTGCTCGCTGCCAAGCTGCCACCCTCTTCTCCTGATGATGCGGAAGCAATAGCCTGATGACGACGAGGCTGCCAAGTGCGATCAGCCTCATCATCATCAATTAGGGTCTCCGCCTCACTACTAGCCCCCTCTCGGCTGCGTGTGGGTCAGGAGACAGACCTGTCTCTAGACCGGCTACCGAGCCACTCTCCTCGCCACTACTTCTTCGCCTGGCTGCTGAAGAGGCGGATGTCTCCCCCCGTTCCTGACCGCCCTCTGTTAGCTCTTCCTCACTGTACTGGATGACACCGGGAGCACTGGCCTCTGGCTGCGAATAGTGCTGCCTCGACCCCTTCCTCTGCTGCCACGTCTGCTCGCTCCTAAAACATTGCCTCCTCTGCCACTCCTCTGCATGTTGTCTGACATACTCTTTAATTAAACGATTCTGTGTCCCTGAGTAACAATTCTGTGTCTGTCCCTGAGTAACAATTCTGTGTCCCTGAGTAACGTTTCTGTGGCCCTAAGTAACAGTTCTGTGGCCCTCAGTAACAATTCTGTGTCCCTCAGTAACAATTCTGTGTCCCTCAGTAACAATTCTGTGTCTGTCCCTGCGTGAGTAACAATTCTGTGTCCCTGAGTAACAATTCTGTGTCCCTGAGTAACAATTCTGTGTCCCTCAGTAACAATTCTGTGTCCCTCAGTAACAATTCTGTGTCCCTCAGTAACAATTCTGTGTCTGTCCCTGAGTAACAATTCTGTGTCTGTCCCTGAGTAACAATTCTGTGTCCCTGAGTAACAATTCTGTGTGTCCCTCAGTAACAATTCTGTGGCCCTCAGTAACAATTCTGTGTCCCTCAGTAACAATTCTGTGTCCCTCAGTAACAATTCTGTGTCCCTCAGTAACAATTCTGTGTCCCTGAGTAACAATTCTGTGTCTGTCCCTGAGTAACAATTCTGTGTCCCTGAGTAACAATTTCTGTGTCCCTAAGTAACAATTCTGTGTCCCCCTCAGTAACAATTCTGTGTCCCTGTAACCTGTGTCTGAAGTAACAATTCTGTGTCTGTCCCTGAGTAACAATTCTGTGTCCCTCTGAGTAACAATTCTGTGTCCCTGAGTAACAATTCTGTGTCCCTCAGTAACAATTCTGTGTCCCTCAGTAACAATTCTGTGTCCCTGAGTAACAATTCTGTGTCCCTCTAGTAACAATTCTGTGTCCCTCAGTAACAATTCTGTGTCCCTCAGTAACAATTCTGTGTCCCTGAGTAACAATTCTGTGTCCCCTGAGTAACAATTCTGTGTCCCCTAAGTAACAATTCTGTGGCCCTAAGTAACGTTTCTGTGGCCCTAAGTAACGTTTCTGTGGCCCCTAAGTAACAATTCTGTGGCCCCCTAAGTAACGTTTCTGTGGCCCTAAGTAACGTTCTGTGTCCCTCAGTAACAATTCTGTGTCCCTCAGTAACAATTCTGTGTCCCCTAAGTAACAATTTCTGTGTCTGCCCTAAGTAACAATTCTGTGGCCCTAAGTAACGTTTCTGTGGCCCTAAGTAACGTTTCTGTGGCCCTAAGTAACGATTCTGTGGCCCTAAGTAACGTTTCTGTGTTAAGTAACAATTTCTGTGGCCCTAAGTAACGTTTCTGTGGCCCTAAGTAACGTTTCTGTGGCCCTCAGTAACAATTCTGTGGCCCTCAGTAACAATTCTGTGTCCCTAAGTAACAATTCTGTGGCCCTAAGTAACGTTTCTGTGGCCCTAAGTAACGTTTCTGTGGCCCTAAGTAACGTTCTGTGGCCCTAAGTAACGTTTCTGTGGCCCTAAGTAACGTTTCTGTGGCCCTCAGTAACAATTCTGTGTCCCTCAGTAACAATTCTGTGTCTGTCCCTAAGTAACAATTCTGTGGCCCTAAGTAACGTTTCTGTGGCCCTAAGTAACGGTTCTGTGGCCCTCAGTAACAATTCTGTGGCCCTCAAGTAACAATTCTGTGTCTGTCCCTAAGTAACAATTCTGTGTTTCTGTCCCTAAGTAACAATTCTGTGGCCCTAAGTAACGTTTCTGTGGCCCTAAGTAACGTTTCTGTGGCCCTAAGTAACGTTTCTGTGGCCCTAAGTAACAATTTCTGTGGCCCTCAGTAACAATTCTGTGTCCCTCAGTAACAATTCTGTGTCTGTCCCTAAGTAACAATCTGTGGCCCTAAGTAACGTTTCTGTGGCCCTAAGTAACGTTTCTGTGGCCCTGGTGGCCCTAAGTAACAATTCTGTGGCCCTAAGTAACGTTTCTGTGGCCCTAAGTAACGTTTCTGTGGCCCTCAGTAACAATTCTGTGTCCCTCTAGTAACAATTCTGTGTCTGTCCCTAAGTAACAATTCTGTGGCCCTAAGTAACGTTTCTGTGGCCCTAAGTAACGTTCTGTGGCCTCAGTAACAATTCTGTGTCCCTCAGTAACAATTCTGTGTCTGTCCCTAAGTAACAATTCTGTGGCCCTAAGTAACGTTTCTGTGGCCCTAAGTAACGTTTCTGTGGCCCTAAGTAACGTTTCTGTGGCCCTCAGTAACAATTCCCTCAGTGTCTGTGTCCTCAGTAACAATTCTGTTCTGTGGCCCTAAGTAACAATTCTGTGGCCCTAAGTAACGTTTCTGTGGCCCTAAGTAACGTTCTGTGTGGCCCTAAGTAACGTTTTCTGTGGCCCTCAGGTAACAAATCTGTGTCCCTCAGTAACAATTCTGTGTCTGTCCCTAAGTAACAATTCTGTGGCCCTAAGTAACGTTTCTGTGGCCCTAAGTAACGTTTCTGTGGCCCTCAGTAACAATTCTGTGTCCCTCAAGTAACAATTCTGTGTCTGTCCCTAAGTAACAATTCTGTGGCCCTAAGTAACAATTCTGTGGCCCCTAAGTAACGTTTCTGTGGCCCTAAGTAACGTTTCTGTGGCCCTAAGTAACGTTCTGTGGCCCTCAAGTAACAAAATCTGTGTCCCTAAGTAACAATTCTGTGGCCCTAAGTAACAATTCTGTGGCCCTAAGTAACGATTCTGTGGCCCTCAAGTAACAATTCTGTGTCCCTCAGTAACAATTCTGTGTCTGTCCCTAAGTAACAATTCTGTGGCCCTAAGTAACGTTTCTGTGGCCCTAAGTAACGATTCTGTGGCCCTCAGTAACAATTCTGTGGCCCTCAGTAACAATTCTGTGGTCCCTCAGTAACAATTCTGTGTCCCTAAGTAACAATTTGTGTCTGTGGCCCTAAGTAACAATTCTGTGGCCCTAAGTAACGTTTCTGTGGCCCTAAGTAACGATTCTGTGGCCCTCAGTAACAATTCTGTATCCCTCAGTAACAATTCTGTCTGTCCCTGAGTAACAATTCTGTGTCCCTAAGTAACGTTTCTGTGTGCCCTAACTAACGATTCTGTGGCCCTAAGTAACGTTTCTGTGGCCCTAAGTAACGTTTCTGTGGCCCTAAGTAACGATTCTGTGGCCCTAACTAACGTTTCTGTGTCCCTAAGTAACGTTTCTCTGTCCCTAACTCTCTCCCTGAATACAGCCAGGTCTGCCTCTGTTGAATGACTGGAGGCAAATGGAGAATTCTAAAATGGCCGCCATTTATAGCTCGACCATTACACTGTGCTGGCTGGCTGCTGATTGTCCCCGCTCCGTCGCCACACATGTCGCCGCCATTTTAGGAAAAATTTCGATTCGCGCATCCGAAGTCTGCTTATTTTCGGATTCGACGCGAATCGAAATTTTCCTAATATTCGAAACGAATTCCACTTCGCCTACTTCGATTCGCTCATCTCTAATCAATTATAAATACACTCACTGGCCACTTTATTAGGTACCCCTTGCTAGTACCAAGAAAATATCCCCCACACCATTACACCACCAACTGTTGATACAAGGCAGGATGGATTCATGCTTTCATGTTGTTCATGACAAATTCTGACCCTACCATCTGTATGTTGCAGCAATCAGTCTGCCCATCCTCCTCTGACCTCTGACATCAACAAGGCATTTTTGTCCACACACAACTGCTTCTCACTGGATATTTTCTCTTTTTCAGACCATTCTCTGTAAACCCTAGAGATTGGTGTGTGAAAATCCCAGTAGATCAGCAATTTTGAAATACTCAGACCAGCCCGTCTGGCACCAACAACACTATGCCCCATTCAAAGTCATTTAAATCCCCCTTTGTTCCCCATTCTGATGCTCAGTGTGAACTTCAGCAAGTCATCACTACGTCTAGATGCCTAAATGCATTGAGCTGCTGCCATGTGATTGGCTGATTAGCAATTTGTGTTACCAAGCAATTGAACAGATGTACCTAATAAAGTGGCCAATGAGTGTATATTAAAACATAAGGGTCCCAACACTGAACCTTGGGGTACACCACTAACACCCCTAAACCATTAAGAGTATGAATCATTAACCAATACTCTTTGAATACTTTCTTTTAGCCAGTTTTCTATCTATTTACAAACTGATTTTTTCCAAGCCTGTAGACTTTACCTTACACAATAACCATGTGTGGGGAACCGTGTCAAATGCTTTTGCAAAATCCACATATATTATATCCACAGCTACTCCTTTGCCTAAGGTTTTGCTTTTCTCTTCATAAAAAGAAATCAGAATTGTTTGACAACTTCTGTCTTTCATGAATCCATGCTGTCTGTTGCTCAAAATATTTTTTTTGAG